CTTGGAGAAAATGACTCGTTCTTCGTAATTTCTCCGCGCCGTTCGGAGTTAAAAGGAGCTTATTAAAGATCACAGCGTTTTCCTACTCGCATGCAATTTCTGCTGTGCACCCTTACTCGACCTTTCAAAGGGTTATTATTATTACAGTACCGCAAAGGCATAGTTTACAACGGCAAATTGATTTCATATTAACGGACGAAATGTCACGACTGTTAATCTTCGATAACTACGTGTTACGCGTTAGAAGAAGTAGTTATACATGAAACACCATAATTTATTTCGTGGTGAGAAAGGGGGGTTAATTTAAGCTTCGTTCTGGCACAAGTCATCCTTACCATTCAAGAGATTTTAAATTTTATGCGTGTATAATAAAAAGAACATTGTAATTACTTTATATAAATCTCCATCGAGTTAAAGATACCGCGTTAAAGTCATGCGTTTTTTATCGGATCTTTTAGCTGGAATTTTTTAATTGTAATTCATATAATAAGCATCTATCAATATTTGATCGCAATCACGAAATATTGAAAAACTGCATACATAGTTCAATCCATAAATAATTTCCAAACCAATAGCTTACCAAACACATTATGAACAATCCATTTTTGCAGCGATAATGCGGTAATATAACGCTATAATTATGCCATTTCCGGGCAAGAGAAATCAGTTCTACCATCGACGGTAATTAATCTCGCGCGGCTGTGCGCAGCGTTCTTTGCGTACGTGTCATCGACAGACATGTGCTTCAAAACGTAATCGACACGCCCGATAACGAACGAATATCGTGGTGTTGAAGAGAAGTCGTGTTTAAAAGGTGAATGTTTGTTGATGTAGGCGCGCCCGTACCCTAAAAAGGGCTCGTGAGAATGTCGGTCGACCTGCTGTTTGAACAGTTCTCCCCAACGAAGGGACGTTAAAATGATTAAGGGTTGTTTTTCAAGCCGCACCGAACGTTATGCAGTATCACAGTTATGGGTTGTAACTGACAACTGCTCTTCCGGTTGTAAAAACACGTGGTGTGGTGTCACAACCATCACGCTGGGTGGCACTGAATTAATATTATTGTTGCATAAATTTTTTACTCCCTCATTTATTACTTTTTCCTATTAAAGAATATATCATTATACGACTGCTTGATAATTATCTGGATAATAATTTAAATTTAAAAGAAACTTTAACTGAAAATCTGAGAAATGGAAAATAAAATGATAAATCGCGTGAGATATTACGATAATTGCATAAAGTAGTATTTGCAAAACGTATCTGCCGACCGAACTTAGCAGCCGAAGGGCTAGAAACGATTTGCCGATCTCGAAAGGTCGAGTATTTGTTGCGTGACTACACCCGCTAACAATAGACCGATCGAGTTCGATACGTCGAACACCTTTCGCTTGGTATAACGAGCTCGCCGACAAAGTGCCAACAAATGCTCCGAACAATAAATGCGGGAGAGCAATAAGACCGCGGCAGATGGAAGTATCAGCTGCGTTGCCAGAGATGGCTCGTAAACTAACGCTCCACCGCAGTAAGACATTTCTAAATACTGCGTTGCTCGTAAGTTCGATCGCAAACAAGCGACACGAGTATTTTTCGTTCGTGCAGGTTGTAGATCACTTTATATCGTTATTAGGACTTTTTCTACAAATATTATTGCGCAACGTCCTTAGATTGTTACACCTTTAAATTACGAGATGCCGCGTGAGTGGATAGGAAATTGATAGGAAATTTAGGAGAGGAATCAAATTACTTTATCGTATCATGCATTTTATCCTCCAATCGTCCAGAAACTACTATATTTCCCATGGCTCTATATATATATTCGCGTATACATCGCGTATCTCCATCTCTCGCGGGATAACGTATGAGCATCGGAGCGCCATCACGTCCGTATCTAAAACGAGCGGGAATCGATATTCCCGGGCGCGATTTACTCTTTCCGTTTTACAAGTCAATTCGGGATGCTTCGTGGCGCATTAAATCCGCCCCTGTGCCGCGTTTCTTCCCGGTAGCTATCATTTCACACGGCTCGGTTCGTGAGTCTCATGGCGCCGTTACGGACACGGCCGATCGGGACACGGTGGCGCGCTGCAAGCTGCACTTAAGCTCAAGATAAGAGATCCGCCCGCCGGGCGGTTTTGCGGTTAAATCGGCAGGAAGGGTCCGCTGCGAGGCACGGCAACTGCAACTGACCATCTCGTAACTTGTACCATCCGTTGCAACCAAGACCCCGGGGCACTTCCCATAATAACGTGTCTAGGCTTCGGTCAATACGGCGCCGATCGTGGGTTCGAGCTCAGGCAAAAGACAGAAAATGGTAGTTCCGTTTATACAACCGGGGAAACGAGCAAAAACGATGTAAAAGCTGAAGAGATGTCCAGCAGATATAAATTCTGAGAAATATCTGAAACATTTCGAATTATTTCAAGCTATTATCTTTACCATTTTTACAATATTCTTCAGATTTATATTGTCTGAACCAGTTTCTACGTCAGTATTGAAATAACGTACAATTAGAGTAATATTGGGGGCAGTAATCGATCAGAAATTTATTTTTATCGAAAAACCTTTATAATATTTATTAATTAAAAATAATATACGTGACTTTTGGATAAAGCTGGTCCGATTGTTGTTGTTCAAAGTAGCACGCATGCTATATGCGATTCTGAGTTCTCAAGCCAAGCCGTTGTTTTTCGAGCCGTTTCGCTGCGACTACGTGCCGCAGCGACGGTAAGATCCGCAAATCCCGACACGAGATGGATATCGTATTCCCTATAATGCATGGGTCGGCTACGCCGCTGAATTCTGCATCACGCGAGTGTACGAACTGTCTTTTGCATAGGTTATCGCGGAAGACCCAAGATCCGACACGAAGTACGAATTTTTTTGCGTAATGAAAATGACAGAATAGCGTCTCCTCGGAATTGAAAAACATTTTTTGCCTCGATAAACTTTGCAATAATGACTTCAAATGTCTCTTTATCATACATGGTTCGCGTCTTTTTTATCTCGTTTTGTACTATTATGCCAAATAAAGCTGGAATATCTTCATCGATTTTCATTATCCATACCGGATCCGTGAACACATATCACATATTTATAATTTGAATAAGAAATTATTACATACCGCAGTCTCTAGAGACAACCCCCGTATTATTCCATTATTCGATCGTAATCCTAAATAAATTCAACCGCGGAACTCTCGAAGGCTTCGGAGTTTCTCTTCCCCCGAGAGTAAACAGTTCGTCGTAACGTAAACACGTCCGGCCGTGTTAATGAATGAACCGGTCGGCAGGATTTCTGCTTTGAAATTCGTCCTGGCCGCGCGCCAGACAGCTCATGCATATTCATGCGGTTCACGCGAGCAGCGAAGATGGATGGCAGGAAAAAGAGATGGCTCGGAAGGGAGGGAAGGAAATAAAATTAAAAAAAAAAAATAAAAAAGAGAACGCGCCGATAATCAAGATTGGACGTGGAGTGCCGCGCGTATCAAGCCGAGGTCGGGGACCGTGATTTCAATTTTAAATGCAAGTCTGCAAATCGCGCGCGCGGCGAGGACAGGCGGGGGTGGAACGAAAGTTTCAGCCATTGTACTCTCGTACGTATGCGCATTTCTATAGGCATCGTTCTCCGGTATCCTCGAGCCGAAGGATCCTCTCAGCCGGTCCCTTCGCGTTGCTGCAAGTCTAGTCATCGTGAAAATGCAACGAGATGCACATGCGATAACGGACAAGTCCCCTCGTGTAGATCGGGACGATATGTTCCGAGGGAGATCGCGCGGGGAAAATTGGTTTGCGCTTCGATTCGTGGAATTTACGTCGCATGTGCCATGTATTGAAAATGTTATTCGGAACGTGAGCGGGGTTTTGAAATCTCATAGATTGCGATCGTAGATCGCGTCAACTTGTATTTGCCTCATTTAAATTCATAGCATTTCAAAATTTGCGTTACGCTATTTCAGAGATAAACGGGAGAAATTGATATCACACGCCGCATTTTATGAAACAAAAATTCATCGATTCCTCCTGCGTAAAATTTATAATACTTTATTTAAATTTATGACGTATAAAAATTTGAATGAATGTCACTACAGGATTAATTTATCATACGAGGATCGCGAAATAAAGAAGTACGACGTTTTGCATAATGTTGCGATGTAAACCTGTCGCAACAGCAATTCGCGAACATAAGTTCCCGGCAATGTATCAATTTACTTCATCTTTCTTTCACCATCCGATCAAATGCCACGCAGCGGGCAACAACGTTCCCGTGTACAGATGAACCTCGATTACACGAATTAAAAGCCTGCTCGTGCTGAACACGATAATTGGCCGTGGACGATTACGAGATAAGTTGCACCAATTTCGACGGCAGCACAGCAGAATTATTCCGTTTAAATCGCCGGCTCATCGTCGTTGAATCAGCCCACACGCCACATTCTCGTACTCTTTCCCACTACTTGTTCTTCGTTAAATTGCAAATTAATGCAGAGAGAATCCCCGCCGAAAAAGTGGTACGCGTGAATTTCGTTCAAGCTTACCTGCATTCATCACGGATGCTGTCGCCGATGCATCGCCGATTTGCGGACAGGTTTTTGCTTGCTTTATAATTGAGTAATCACCCTAAAGCCATAACTGAATAAATTTTTGGCATGAAAATTATTTTGAAAACAAAAATTATCATATTGTGTCGTTAAAACTGTTTCAATATCTAACGCAAGTATAGAAAATTTTAGATAGTCGAACAATTTAGACAATTCAGATTTTAAGGTTGAACATCAAATAATTCGAATCTTTTGAGCTAAAAATATGTTCAAACATACGTTAAAAATAAATGCTAAAAACGTCAGCAAATATTTTATTTTACACAATAAGGAGCGATACAGTTTTATTATAATATTCATAATGCAATTATTTATTCCATTATGCTATTTTATAATACAATAAGAAAATAACCAAATCTTACAATAAGTATTATTATTAGTATTTTAGTGTTTGCAAAAGTATCTGCAGTCAATTGATTATTTTAATAGTATCATTACATTAGATTAACATTAAGTCAATTTAATCGCTCAACTTGAATAAGTTACACATGCCTGTTCTCAAATAATTGTGAATTATTTAATTATATGAGTATCATCTAACAGGCTCTAAGACAAAGAGCTGACTGTTCGCAGTTTTTTGTGCGTCTTGGCGTCGTCGTCTAATCCTTCTGGCCAAAAATGGCACAAACAAACTTGGATCGTGTTCAATGATATTTTTGCGTTGAATACGTCGTACTATAAAACTCGTCGTATATCCTATCACTAAAGTAATGATCAGTCCCATGAGATTATACCACAAATAGGAGATTCGATACAAATAAAAATATGACGATTCATCCAGTTGTACAGTGCTGCAAAAGAAAGAAGGGATAAATTATGAAAAATTAATTAAACGTCACTTTATAAAATATTGTTTGATAAATTATGTTTTGACACACACATATATGTATATTACGCATTGAACAAAATACTTTTCATTAGTTTCTTTATACCAATACTTTCTTCAGTAAAACGTGGTTAATGAGCGAAACGATGAAGGTATTATTGCTGCTTAAATTACACTCGCGAGAAATGCATTTATCGCTCTCTATTATTACGAAGATTATTTTGCTTAAATCGGACCATCTAACTTTTACGCTTTCTCAATTTCTTGTATTATTGAAAATGGAGCCGTGTCAATTTACGCGAATTCCCGCTGACGAAGAAACGCAATAATATATCTAATCCCGCTAATAACGGTGTGGCGGAAGATTCCGCGAGACAACCGTAATTTCAGTTTATTAACGGTGCAATTAGCGTCATTCACTACCGTGGGAATGTCGAATGGCGAGCTTATCGTGCATGAGAAAGCGCGGAGCGTGAAAGAAATCGGGAAATGGTGTTTAACTCACCGGCTAATTACGCCGACATGACATAACAGCGTCGATGCTTCGCGAATTTCATAGAGTCGCGATAAAGCGATTTACGGCGCGTCGATAATTCATATTCTAATCAGCACGCGATGCCATGCGCCGAGTCGAGTTGTTCTCTCTCTCCTATCTGTTTCCCTCAGTTAAGATAAATTTATGCTCGTATCGATTCATCGGTCTATAGTGTGCAAGATGAATGGTTGACAATTGTAAATCCGTATCAGATTTATTCACGATAGAGCTGCGATGCTAACATTTCAGCATTACTCAGACGTCGCCCGAGTTGAAACTTTCAGTGAAACAAAATTTGCCGTATAAATTTTTAAAGCAAGATAAAGATACATTTCTTCTATCTCTTCTGATGTACTTAAGTGCATCGTAAATTGAATTAATTACGAAAAGAGAGAAACAAATACGCAATTTTAAATTCATCGCACTTGTAAAATTATTCAGTATGCGAAATTATCAAATTTGAAACTACGAAGTATTGTGAAGAAGATAGAATCTTGAGCGCAATAAAATTTGGAAAATTGTATCATTGAAGATTGATGGATTATTTCGCGGTGCTTGAGAGCGTCCTACCTGTTGAATTGCATCTGTTGTTCAAGCATCAGTGCTGTGGAATTTGCGCAACCTTCGACAGATACCGGCAATTCCGGAACGTGTGGCTTCGGCGTCCCGAAAGCAGCCCACAAGCAGACGGTCAACGCCGTGATCATGCCAATAATGGTCCCCGTTTCGTTAGCACCCTCAGTGAACATTCCGAGAGTAAAAATACCCAGAATCGGTCCACCGATCGCTCCGTGAATGCTAAAAGCGATGGCGATCAACGTACGACCCATCACACTCGATAGCAGTGCTAATAACAAGCAAAGAATACCGTTAAAAACGGTAAGAGCCTTGGCAGTAAACGTAGCCCTCTTCTCAGTAAATTCTATTCCAAATTTTCGATGGAGCGGTTTTACGTAATCCTCGAAGGCTACCGCGGCGAGCGAGTTCATCATAGCAGAGATCGTGCTCAAGCTAGCGCTAAAAATGCCGGAAACGACGAACCCGACCAATCCCGTTGGCAATCTCTCGGTACTGTAAAACGGCAGCAACTTGTCGTAGGTCTCGATCTTTCCGGAAATCACGGGATCGCAGTCTTTGTAGACCACGTAAAACGTTACTCCGGTGAAGCACGTTAGAACACCAACCAGTATGATCAAAGGACCACAGAGTAGTAAAGCGTTTATGGCTGTTTTTGTGTCTCTGCGGGCAATAAACTTGAAATTTATCTCATATTCGATAATTTTGATCACATTAATCATAAATAAGAAAATTTCAAGCAAAATTAAAACTTTTGAGGAAGAAATAGTACGCATTGAAAATATTGATTACGAGATACGACGTATTAACTTACTTAACGGTCATTAAACGTTGAACTTGCACTTGATTCACAGCAAGATACGCTAAACCTATTGTTCCTCCGCCGATTAAGAGACTCCACCACGTATATTGCACGGTTGGATCCAAACTTATCCTGAAAAAGAAAAAAAAAATTCTTATCAATGTTTTTACTAATTTTATTATTTAAAACTTATCATGATGAACAAACTCTTTCAAAACTTACTGAGAAAAATCGAAACGGTTCCCCTCTTGTGCGATTTGCAAAACGCCACTGAATCCATCATCGGTATTTAAAACAATGATGAAAATGATAACGCTGAGAGCAAAGAGCATGAGCAAGCCTTGAAAAATATCGGTGATCAAGACCGCCTTTATTCCACCGATTGTGGAGTAAAACGTACAAACTACGCCGAGTACCAAAATGCTCGCAGTGCTGGACAAGCCCGTGGTAGCCTCGAGAGCTAATGAAGGAGCGTAAAGCATCACACCAGTTAGTAGCATCGTCTCAGTAAAGTTAGCCCCGCTTACAAGCAGTCGCGTATACAATCCAAATCGCTTTTCCAGATACTGAAAGAGAGAAAACAGAAAGATATAGCTGATCTTCGTCAAAAAAACAATGCCGAACTATTGCTTAAGCTATTAGATGATTATCTTGCGATCGTCCTTGCAATCACCTCATAAATGCTCACGACCTTCAACTCGAAAAAGACTGGTAGATAGCAAAAGGCAATGATTGGCACGGTGAAAATGCCGCCGCAGTAAAATAATACAAGGATCATGCCATGGATGTAAGTTTCCCCGCTCATTCCAAGCATGCTGATTGCCGATATCTGGCAGGCCATCATCGCGATTGATAGCGGTATGACGCCCATCGAGTTGTCCGCGGAAAAGTACTCCTGTTGACGATAATTGTGCGATCGATTAAGCAGCAATGTTGCTCGAAGCATCATTCATGATGCGTAATGTTTCCACGAAGAAATCCTTAGACGTTCGCCATTATTGTGACGGATAAAATTAATTGAAGAGCCGATACTGATTTTATTTCTAAAAGAAAATCCTGCGCACTGTTCTATCATAATCGCTCAGTCATATCAGTCAGCAAAATGCTGAAACACGATTTATTGGAATATTTACTTCATCGATCAAGATATTCATTCTTAATTAAAACTTTAAATTAATCTTTGATAAAGGCACGCGGTTTGTAAAATTACATTTAATAGAACACAGTGCAGAATACTTTTTTCCTTGAGATAAAAAGAGAAATAAAATAGGAAAGTCTGAAAGTACTATCGGTCAATCAGATGTTTATTTCGTGATTGCAAAAGTTTTGTTAAAAGGATCCATCGTTTTACTCAGTATAGAAGATCTATTCATTATCGATCAGCGAGTCCTCTCCGAGTTATCGAATCAAATCGTAGCGAAACGGCGTAATTAACACGTTGAGCATATGAAAAATCGGATGGGACTTAATTTATTAACGGCCGATAGCCCGTGATGGTGGTATTTATCATGAGAAGAGATCAATCGCATAACGGCGCGCGTTGATATGATTCGCGTGCGGATTATCGTGATCGGATAGGTTTAATACCGCGATAGAAATTGATTTTCTAGAACCTGACCGCGGCTGTACTTTGTCGACCGCCGCTGAACCGATAGTAGATTCCAATGATGATAGAGATCGACATGATTACGCTGATCACAAGATAGTCCGGCCATTGCAATACGTTGGACTCGCCCTCAGTAAATGTTTCCTATAAACAA